TTTTGCTTGTACATGCACATTGGATAGCATTTTCCCGGCTCGTGTTACTGTATACAGATTTGGCTGTGGGTCAAAAACAGGTACCCAAAATGGAACCCTGGTAGATGAAACCAGGGACGAAGACCTGCGGTCCCTGGTGGTTGAATTTTGACCCATACCCATTTGGCCATGGGTCAAACCCCCGTACCCAGTGAACATCCCAATCCCCACTAAAATAGGCTAAACTGGTACCCATTGGTGTTGAACCACAGCCATTAGGATGACCATTCCGAGAAGCACCAAATGTTGACCTTTTGCAAAAGAGACGTGCTCGGCTCGGGCAGCCCGCCCAACAGAAGAGAGTTTCGGGGGCAACTGACCCCGAAGGAACAAAATCTGGATGTACTTCAGAACAAGTCGGATGGTGAATTTCGGGGCAAGTTTCGGTGCCCTTATGAAAACCCTCACATGTGGCAGGCAACCCTACTTCACCATTTGTTGTTTTGGGTTTTCCGGAATCTACGCGGACCCCCCATTTCCAACGAGCTTATTTTGAAAGGAACACCATCCATTTCATTTGGAGAACCAACTGGCGACACTCGAAGTTCCGCATGCGTGAGGCTGGACTTTACATCGATGGAGACTAGCACAAGGGAGCAGGCAATGGACGGAGAGGGAGAGAAACTCAGGATCAACCCGTGGCCCAAGGCCCCTTCTGACTGTTTGAACTTTTGGGGAATAAATCACTTTCGGGTTTTGCCTCAGTCAGCTTGGTCCAGATGTTGAAGAGGCATTTTCTTTAAGCCACTCTGAAAGACAGCTTCGGGGCTTTGAACAACTCTGTAGAAGCCTGATGAACCCATCGCGCTTCCCAGTTGAGAGCCAAGACAAGGACCGCCGGGTTGCTTATTTGATTGCTGCCCTTTTCTCTTTGCTGCCGCAAGCCCCACAGAAGGGCACTCAAACGTCATGTTGAGTCTTAGGGGGGACGGCTTGGTATGGGTGCTTACAGCTTTTAGAGCCAGCAGTACAGCCGCTGCCAAAGTTTCGCATCAGGATCCAAAGCTTGTGACAGAGGTGTTTGCTCGTTGTCATGTTGCAGAGTGTCGCTACAAACTTTTGTCCGGGTTAAGAGAGGAAACGCCGTTTTCTCCGTGGACTCAAGTTGGATGTCGCATATGTGGGCCTGCAACAGGTATCAAGGCTCGGGCTCGTTTTCTCGTCTCATTGTTGATCCGTTTTTTTTTCTCCCCGAAGCCACTAAATGATTAAATGTCATCCATTTAGGTTGGTCGTTCTGTTGGGCCCCGGCTTTTTGTTTTTTCTCCGAAGCCAAAAGAAAGCCGCCGGCGCTCGTTCCGGCCCTTGCGTGCAAGGGCCCGCCCTCCATCGACAACACGGCCCTGGTTGATGTCTGGAGCCAAAGCCCCCACCGATTCATTCGACCCGGGGTGGTCCTACCTGGTTTCATAAAGGTTAGGTATAGTAAGGCCAATAAACCTTTCTTAATCACCACCTTGGAACCCAAAGTCAATGTGTATGTGTCAAACACAGGAGACGCCTGGAGGTTGCCACGAGGACACTTTAATTTTGCTGAACCCTAAACTTGGGGCGCCAAACGGAGATGGGCATCAACAACAGGGCCATGCTGTGAGCTGAGATTTGCAAGCGCACGAAAAGCAATGTTGACAGGGCAGAAAGTCGTGATACTTGTTCTGTCAATTGTTTGACCGCTTGCTAGTTGCAAACTATACAATTACTACTGCTATTTGGCTGTTTTCTTCGTAAGACGGGCCAGACTTTCAGCAGGATCCAGACATTGCCAAATGCGTCATCCAGCTTCTTCCAACGCAGAGAGATGCACTTTTTTGGAATCATCTCATGTATTCTTGCTTTGGTATAGTGCAACACATTCTGAGAATGCGAAGAGGAACTAGGCAGTCGGTTTTGCAAACCTCACATTTGTCTCTGAATCGTTCCGTTCCCCAGTGCTTCCACTTTCCTCTAAAGTAGGTATCCAAGGTTTCTGAGATCTCTAGGTTTTAAGGTTGACCCAGGATAAATAAACCCGTCCCATTATTGGGGGGGTGTTCCCTCCAAAAGTGATGAATCCCCACTAAAAGGGGACCCTTTTTTGAATCAACCAGGGGTTTATCAATCCGGGGTTCACATCACATGATGGTTTTTTCCCTTGGTTACCTACGCTACCTTGGCAGCTGGAAGACACTGGGTTCCCTTTCGTCTCTCTCCGTTTAATCGACTCCCGTGCTGACTTCCGACTTCCCCTCCCCATCGCCGATGCGGAAGCCAACCAGGAGCTGCCCATGTTGGAAACTGGACACCACTTTGGGAACTGCTGGGGTTTTCAGGACTTTCATTCTTGGTCATTCTTGGTAGCCAGGAGTTTTCCCATGGTAACCACGCCGGGATTTCCCATGGTGACCCGGATTTTCCCATTTTGGAAACCAGGAGTTACCCATTGGTGTAGCCAGGAACCACTTTCCCATGGTTTCTGGTAACTCTACCAAATATTGGCATCCCACACACATTTCAAGTCCAAGGCTTTGGGTCCAAAATTGCCATCTTGTCGCTTTGAGTCTGCCGTCTCGTGAGATGAGTGTCAGCTCCGTGGTTTTCCGTGTGATGTGTCGAGTGACTGCGCTTCGTGTTGCTTACCGGCTTGTTTTTGGTCGGGTATTGTCAACATCGCCCACGACTTTGACCTCCAAACGGGGCAATTTTATTGGGACCCACCAATGAATTCAATTCAAGACGAGCTGTACCCACCCCAGTGCGTCCAGTTGCCAGTATAGCAGGGAACCACAATTTAAAGGCAGCAGTTTACCGTCTTCACGGACACGCAAGCCAGAACAACATCACGGATTTCTGATACCTTGAGGTTTCCAGTTACCTTTTGCGTCGGACGGACACTAGCCCCTGCGAAAGCCTAATTTCAAGCCTCAAGCGGGTACTGAGACCCTCATCACCATCATGCCTTTCAGTGCGCATTACGGTTGTAGTAAGTTGGTAAGGTTCGCATAATGTGCATCCATGTACGCATCCTTGGCAATGCGGTTCACAAAAGCCAGTTGCCTTCGCAGTGCGTGGATCAACCAGTTGCCACGATGCCTTGGTTACCAACTAGGTCCCCCAGTAGTGCCCTTTTACCAACTTTCTTGGGGGAGGGTTCCGCTACTAAAATAGACAAAACCGAAAAAACAGTTGGCACCCTTATTCTAAGCTCTCAAATCTGGAGAACCTAGCCAAAGCACCCGTGGTCGCCATGGAAGCAGCAGGGTATTGACCATCTGAGCCCAGGCCCGGGACCACCTCCGCATCGGCCTCTCGGAGGGCGTGGACTATGAGGCGAGGTCTTCGGTTTTCTGTTTTGCTCGTTCGCACCGAGCAAGGGACGGTGGTTGTCGTGGCCAGGGTTTGCCTTTTCCGCTGCTTGTGGGAGAAAAAAATAATAAGCAGCTTGCCTGGGAGTGTAGAAACCCTTAAAGGGAGGCTGCTCATTTCAGCGGAAAAGGCAAACCCTGGTAGCCTCCCACCAATGAATGTAAAACCTGACAGGGGATCGCTTTGAGGTGGTGGTGAAAAATACGGTAACCCCAACATGGGTTGGCCGATCGGCAAATGGAGAAATGGACGAAGAAAAAAAACATAGGTCACCTCCCACCAATTGACCGGGGATCCCTTTAAAAGGAGAATGGTCCAAACCAGGACCCCCCGACCGTCAGGTTCCATGTCAACTGGTAGGAGGGTACCCACAATGGGTTGGCTTGGTAAATGGACAAATGGGCGAAAAAACCAGCGGTCCAATTCCTGGTGGTTTAATTTGACCCATACATGGGACCATGGCTGGAGAGAATCCGAGTCGCAGCAGTTGGGATGGACGAAGCATCTGAGTCACAATCAACACCTTGCTAATTTGGAGGGTGGCAAGGGACAATCCCAGCCACAAATGGGTGCGGATCTCCGCCTTTTCAATTCTGACATGGTTCTGAAGTAAGACCATTTCAGTACCCGGGTTTTGGTTGTGACTCAACTAGGAATCTTGGGAGAACCACCCGCTTTCGCCGGAGTTCGCCCACCGTTCTTGGATTCCCAAGCCGCGCGGTGGTCTCACGGATTGGACCATTCTGAGTGGCAAGAGAAGTTGGCCTTGTTTGAACCCATCCACGGAAGTTTTCGACGGTCGGCAGTACACTTTTCCTTTCAATCCATGTAGCACAAATTGGATGTCGCTTCACAGACCCAGTTCCAAAGGAGGTGCTTCCTCTGGGTGTCCTCGAATTGTTTCGCTTTTGCAGGATGGATTCTACCTTGAGTTGGGTCCTAACCATTATACCAGTGCCAGGGCTAGGCAAGCCAGCAGAGTAGGTAACCAAGGGAAACCATGATGTACAATATGGTTAAACAAATGGTTTCCTGATATAGTGGCTTGCCTGGAAGCACTGCACAGGAGGGCAATGGATTTTTCTCCAAAAGCACACCAAGAGTTGGACCTGCACATACACACACAGCACCCTCGGTGCGTAAAAGCCCCGGCTTGCTCGCGCCTTAGACATGCATCGATTTGATTTCTTGTCGATCTGGGGATCTGAATGCATGGGGCAACTCCCTCGTACGGCTTGTTTGTTGTCTTTTGAGGATACCACTTTGGGTTTGGTTTAAAGGAAAGCCAAAAGGACAACCACCTTTTTGGGGGGTCCCCTAACAAAAAGACACACCCGTATGATGAAGTAAGCCGAGCAGGCTTCACCTACCCTGGCTGGTTTCTGCGGCAGGCATCCAACAGGTTTCAACATCACCTGCTTGCTATGAGCCGTGGGATTGGGGGTAGGGGGGGCGGTCGTCGCACGAGCAGCGAAGACCCAGTTGACCCAAGAAAAGGAACTCTGAAACTTGCGGTTTTTCTGTGTGTTCTTAAACACCATGCAGAGTTTGGGACAATTTGCAATTTAATTATTGCAGAAGCCGCGTGTTTCTTGACGTCTGCACTCGCCGACTCCCGTAGCCGAGAGCTTCTGATAGCTAGCTCCGGTGGCTCCAGCCTGCCTTGCCGGCCGTTTCTTAGGCGCGGGCGGGCAAAGCGCAAGTCCCGTGGGGTACTGTGAAGGTTCTTCCTTGAACATGGGTCGCGCCCACCTAGTAAACTCACCGGCGAGTTTATTCATGGCTTACTGGGGGTACATACTCAGTTGCTCTGGTATGAATGCATTTCCCGTCACTTGCTTGTTTGGGATACCCAGCATGTCACTGAGGGTGTCCTGTTTCTCCCTTTCAACACTGACACCAAAGATGCTTCCCCTCATAGTGGGCCACTAGCTTTCACCAAGCCCCCTTCTTTCGTTGGTTGGTTCAACCATTTGAGGGTGGCGAGCACTTCAGCCCTTGTCACTCATGTTTGCTGAAGTCAGGGTAAAGCGCGACTTTGTTAGTTTCCTTGAATTGGACGCCTATTGAGTCGAACAACACATGAAGTAAGTCTAAGAGGTTTGCCCTCCGCGGGATATGTTTGGTAGCGGACGGGAGGTCGGTGCCGTTCTCCGGTCTAAGGCTGTTGTGGAAAGGGTTCGGGGAAGCAAATGGGGCTGGTCTTTGTTGAATCGGTACAAAGAGTGCAAAGAGTCGTAAACCACCATGTTTCATATTGGGGATTCCAACCCACGCGTATGCAGACCCGTCCCGTAACATTCATCTGAGATCTTTTGTTTATAGGAAGTATGTGTTGCTTTTGCTGAACTTCGAAGAAAGTTGCCTGGGACAAGTTTGGTGTGTGTCATATCGGGGACCCCAAAAGACTGGGTGGTTTCGCTTTTGATCCCAACCCGTTTCCAGCAGTGTACGGGTCCTCACTGCTCAGAGGTGCTTCCTCACCGACGCGCGCGCCCAACATGCGCAGGCCGGTTCAGCCGAGTGTCCGAAGGTTTCACCGGATTGGGGCCGGCCCCCCTCCCCCAAAATGTGGGTTTTCCTTTGGGTTTCTGTTCAAAGCCAGAAACAAATGACACACCCAACATGGAAAGGATGTCATGTTAGGGGGGTTCCAACGGAATGGACATACCCTGTTTGGATTCGAACATCAGTTGCAGCCATTGACGCAGACTTCAAAAAGCAATCAGATTGTCAGGCAGCTGTCCTTGGTGTGACTTGGCGTTCCCTTTGAGGAGTCTTATACATGTCACTCATTCTCTAGAGCTCTCGTAAGTGCCTGAAGGTGAGTACGCATCTGACGTTCGCGACTTTCAGGGTGCTTGGGTCTGTGCCAAAGCTGGGTATGTGTCCAAATCGGGGAACCCAAGGAGGCCATCTAAAACGGAGCCCCAAGTATAGGATCAACACGAAGCACAGGGGACGGCACATTTTGATTTCTCCTTGAACACCCAAACAGCTGGTACGGGAAATTCTAGAAAGCATTGGCCAAATAGCGCGGGATTCCCCGTAGGATTTCCTGGTTTCTTAGAAGCACCGTTTTGACACACTCCCATTGCTTCGAAGATGTTGGGCCAACGGCGAGACCTGCGAGGCAACGCGTCATTCAACAAGGAAAATGCAGCCACACACACGAGTCATATTTTTAGGGTCTCCCCAAAACGGCTTCGGTTTTCCTTTTCCCGGTGTACCCCCAACAAAAGACACACACACACACATACATACTGATACTGATACTGTGGTACTTCCCAAGAGGAACGTAGGCTTCAAGGCGGAAGTCTTGGAGAAAAAGAAACGCCGTGGCGTCGGACAAAAATATCACCGTTTCGTGTAGGGGGCATGACTAAAAATGACCGGTTCTTTGCCACTCTTTTGGGGAGTTGAACAGAACAGGTGTCCAAACACCTCCGCCCCGTTGTTTTGCTGGTTTGAGCCACGGCGTTTTGAGACGCAAAGGAAAACCCCAGCACTAGGCGCATCTTTCCAATCCCTTGTATGCAGCTATGAAAACTGAGCTAATATGGTGTCTGGGGCTGTGGCGCAATGGCAGCGTGCCCCTACGTGTGGGAGGTCGTGGGCTCAAGTCCCGCCGGCTCTATGTCTTCTTTGGGTCCTTTAGGTCCCTTTAACACACCAAGAAAAGGGAGGCTACCACGCAAACTCCAAAAACCACCAAACAACTCCAACGTTCCCTTGTTCCTTTCTCATCTACCTCCAATCCCAAGAGAACTCTTGAAGAGGCCCAAAGTCCAAATTTGCCAATCATTACTTTTCGTATCGTTCCCACACCTTGCTTGCTGGAAGAAAAGACTCCAAACAGCTCCAGAAAGTTCTCCAAAAAGCTTCAGAAAGTTCCAAAAAGTTCCAGAAAGCTCCAGAAAGCTCCAGAAAGTTCTAAAAAGCTCCAAAAAGTTCCAGAAAGTTCCAGAAAGCTCCCTTGCGCGGGCGCCGAGTTCCAGCCCATTCCGGAGGCTTGGCTCGGTGCTGCCGGACTCGGGCCCCGCGCCGCGGTCCCGCCCCCCCTCGGCCGCGGCGGCTCTGCCGGTGGGGCAGCGAGAAAAACCGACGAATCCCGCGGAAGAGGAGGAGAGTAGTGAGCCGGAATGCTGTGGTTCCTTCCCTTCTGCGTGCACTACATTAAGCTTTTGTTCCGTTTGCTGAAGGAAACATATTTGGTTGTTTTGCCCTGTTGGTTTTAAAAGGGAGATTAAAGGGAATCTGCCTTTTTTAATACAGAGACAGGGAATCTGCCTTTTCTGTTTTTGTTTTTTTTTTTGGGGGGGGGGGGAATCTTTCTTTAAAAAATAAATAAATAAAAATAAATAAAGGGAATCTGCCTTTGCTCACTTAACGTGTTCTTCTTTTTTTAATAACATATTTTGCCCTGTTGGTGTTAAAGGGAATCTATCACTATTGGACAGATATTGTTTTCCAGGGCGCTTAAGCAAATGGAAGTAGTATGCAGCACAGCAACCAGGTGTTGGGGGGAGCCAAAGGTGTCCTTTGGATCGGTTAGGTAAGTTAGAAGTAGATGGGTCCACTGGCTTAGATTGGTGTTATTCCAGTTACCAGGGCCATCTACTTTCTCAAAAGGTCATTGAAGTGACATCCCGAAAAAAGAGCAAGTTTTTTTTTTTGCGAATTTGGTGCGTCAAAACATGTGCGACTTGGTTGAAATTGTCAACATGGGATTGGACCGTAGTGATGGGTGTCTCCCCCGGAAGGGCGCCAGAGCAGGCGTGAGGGGAACGAGGGATCCCGAGTTGAGTGGTATCCTCCGGCATGCGGACAAAAGACCTGAGTGACATGACCTCAATTCTCCCAGTGGTGTTGCCACTGTTGGGAACCCTTCGCCATTTTGTCTAAAGGGTGGTTCCCTTGACAGAAAGGGAGACGGACTCCTACTTTGTTCCAGGTCTCAGGCACTTTGGTGACTTGAGCCACTTCCCCCTTGCGGAATCAGATCTTCACAACTTCTAGGATCCACCCATCCGGCCCCGTCGGATTTTTCGAAGCAAAGCGCAGCGGAGAGGAGCTCCCGGAGCTGCCGATGCTGATGGGCCGCGTGTCCTTGGGCCTTCGGGAGCCGGATCCGCAGGCCGCTCGCTCGCTCGCTCCCGCCCGAGCCGCCCGCTTTGGGGCGAAACGCGCCGGGCTGGGGGTCGGGGTTTTTTCAGGCCCCGCTAGGGTGCTCTGCCTGGAGATATTTTTTTCAGGATTTTGTCCACTTCCGCTTAAAGCAGCTTGCAGTGGGGGGCGTTGCAAATTGAAACACTGTGAATGTGAAGAAGGGTGTTCGATGCGCGCTCAGTTGGTCGCATTGTCGGTTCCAGACGATTGGTCCCAGCAGGGATTCTCCAGCCGGATTTGGACCCTGGAATTCTTTTGGTTTGTTTTCCGGGTAATTTCGGAAGGTTTTCCTCGATTTCCAGCATTTCCCTCAATTTCCTGAGCGTTTTGCGGGTTTTCCCCTAGTTTTACCTGGTTTTCTGGAGTTTAACGGGGATTCGGGCATGGGAAGTGAGGGCTTACTTTGGAACCAGTTTTTTGATTGAGCCCCTCCTCGTTTTTTGGTTTTGGGGGGCGGGTTCTTCCTGAGTGTTCTGTCTCTTTTTGATTGACCCCGACTTTTGTTTGTTCCGAAGGGGATATCGGGTGTTTGGCTCCAGGTGAAGCACGGAGTGGGGGCCTTCTGTCGACAGGGATGACTTTGAGAAGGAAGAATCTGATCGTGTTGGATCTGAAAGTCTTATTCCGCAATTCAGAAAGCAGGGGCCGCGCCCTACATAGACCCTTCAAAAGCTTCCACGTGGCTGTCGGGTCATTGCGAAGTCGCCGGCATGTGGGTATGTATCAAACGGGCGGCTCGCCAAAATGGTGGTTTCCATTTCGCTTCCCTTTCGGATAGCCGTAAAAACAAAGGAGGAATTTATGATTTGGGCTGCCTAGATTTGCACACTGCAGTTGGAAGTTTCGGGTGAAGACCCCTTCCAGGCTTCGTATCGGTTTGCCTCATAGTTGTTCTTAAACTTGGCAGTTTCCCTTTAGTGCCCCTTTTACACAAATAACTACAAAGGGGAACCACAATATCAGGCAAGGGATGTTCATGTCAAGCCTTTCTTCTTTCTATTTTTTCTTGGGGGGGGTTGGGGGTGTATTTATTTTTTTTGGGAGGGGGGGGGGGGGGTTTTGCGGGGGGGAGGGTTGGGGTTGGGGGGGGGGGTTGGGTTTTGTGGGGGTTTGGGGGGCCCTCCGTGTGTCCACTTTGGGAGGCACCAAAGCCCCGCGCCACGGATGAGGCGCGAGCGAGAGAGAGGGGGCAGGAAGGTGGGGTCACAGGTCACGGGTCACGGGTCACGGGTCACGGGTCACAGGTCAAGCCTCATGTTTTGTTTGATTGTGTGTGTGTGTGTTCTTTCTTCTTCTTTTTTTTTTTGGGGGGGGGGGTCCATTTTTTTTTTTTTGGGGGGGGGGAGGGAGTTTTTGTTGTTGTTGTTTTTTTTTTGGGGGGGGAAGGGTCCTTTGTGTGTGTGTGTGTGGGGGGGTCCTTTGGTTTCTTTGGCTTGATGAAGGTGTCAACCCTCACATTCTTTTCTCCATGGCCCCTTGGAAGAGGGGGCGATTGGGAGGGGGGGCTATCCCTTAAGGGGGCTCCTTAATAAGACCTTATTAAGGGTTTATCCTTGGCTTGTCCTCAGCTTAGCTGGTCCATCATTTTTTTTGGATGGGGGGGGTTCCTTTGGTTTTTCTTTGGCTTTTTTTGGTTGGGTGTCCTTTGGTTTTCTGTTTTAGGGGGGTTCTTTTGGGTTCCTTTGGTTTGCCTTCAGCGCAACCCTCAACACGGGTACCGTCAGCAGAAAGACACCATGTTTACCCCAAGTTAGTAACCCCCTTGTTGACAGATATAGAGGGGTGTGGCCTTTTCGAGAGGGTCCTTCACTTCGAGGGGAGTTGCACCGCTCTGTGAGTGTGCATGCGTGAGCAAAGAAGCGGCAGCAGCAATCGAGGGAACACGCGCTAGGCAAACGCAGGATTTCCGCGGGCGAGAATTGGAAGGAGCCAACAAGCGGTGTGTGTTTTTTGGACTTGTTTCCAGACCCTCTATTCGACCAGCAAAGCATTCAGACACACTGGAGCTGTTTTCAGCTTCGCAACTCAAGTTGGCCGTCTTCGCGTGCGCGCTTACGTCTGGGCTCAACGGAGGGCGGAGATCCACCAACTTAAAAAAAGGCACATTACGCCAAGGACATTGTGGACGATTTCGTCCAGTAGCATGATTGGTTTCTTTCAACAAATGATGGGTGGCAAGACTGGAATCGCGTTCAATCCATAGAGGGGCTCTGGGACGGTTGCAGATAAATGGAGTATATAATATCAGGGCTAAATCGTTATCAACAGACTAAGGGTGTACTGGTGTACTCCTATAAGCCACCCTCATAGGCCCTTTCCATTGAGGGTTCCGGCTGTCGCCTTGTGGTCTCAAGATGACAATAGGATTTTCCTCGGTTTTCTCTTGTGGGTTCTACAAAAAGTCCCATGTTTTACTCGTGACCTCTACACCAGCCCACTGCAAAAATGGAAAGAGCCCCATGGTGCCCCCATGGCTCAGCCGGCTTCCGAGCCGCCGGCTGAGGACCTCTCGGTGTACCAGCAGGCGGCCCTGGCGGAGCGGGAGAGGAAGGCGGCCTGGAAGCGTTGGCTTCAGCAGGGCGGCGGCGCGTCCGGGCCTCGGCGGCCGCAGGGCGGCCTCGGAGTCTTTGGGCGCCCAAGGGACGCAGGTGACAGGTGAGGTGTGGGGGGGGGGCTCTGAAAAAGGTGGAAAGAATGAGTCCCTTTTCAGGCAGTGCTGGGGAAGCATTTTTGGAGCCCCTGTTTGTTCCCTAGCCGAATTCACTTGTCAACTTGTCACCAATGGCCACCAGTGCTGAAGCGGGTTCCTTCCAAGTTCGGAGACATTTGCGCTACGTTACCGGAGCTATCCAGATGGCACGTGCCCGCATGCGTATGGGCGTGCGTCGGTGTATAAGGTGCGGTGCGGTGCTGCACCCTGCTATGTCACGCATGTCACATGCGTGACTCCCTGTTTGGAGATCGAGGGAAGCCAAAAGCAATCCCTTTCCACCTTTTGTGGCGGCCCTTTGCTCCTTTTTCAGCATGCCCCAGTTCGCAGTTTTTAGGTTGCCAAATGCGAGCAAGCGACGAAGACATAGAGCCGCCGAACTGGCCCAAACATGCAAACCGCAATTTGAAAAGGAACATGTTTCAGATGATGTTCCAAGATAAAGACCCCATTTTGAGGATTCTTAGGCATACCTGTACAACACCAATGAAACACATCCCTTATTTTTAGGATACATCAGATGGGGGAGCTCTTTTGGGGAGGTTGAATCTCGCGCCGAGGAAGGACTTTGCCAAGTTGGCGGACCAGCTGGAGCCAGGCAGGGGTCCAAATCCCATTTCTTTTGCCATGTCCAATTCGCTTTTGTTGGTGAGTTCCCCTCTGGTCCATCCCAATTGTTTCAGGTTCGAGCCGTTCCCGAGAGAGAATCAAGGCCCAAGAGAATGGGCTGATTTTCTTCGAGCCGAACTTCTAGGCTGCCATGATTTTGTTTGCCTGCTTTGGCTTCACACCACTTTGGGTTGACTTTCTGACGAAGTAACGTGGAAATCGCCAAGTTGCTGGCTACGTCTGTTTGAAACCTTTTGACACAGGTCTTTAGGCCCTTTCATGGGCCACACGTGTGTGGTACCAGCACCGTGGAGGTTTTTTGTCCCAAGCCTTCTGAGGCTCGTGGTGAGCTCTAAGCAAAAGGGTCAATATGTGGGGGTTGATCAAAAGGTCCTGTAAACATCGGATGACCACAAGGGAAAACCGAAATTGAGCACTTTCACCGCACAGGAGCATTTACCCATGGTCATTCCGGGGCCGAACGGAATATTGACCAACCCAGGATTAATACACCCGTCCCATTATTAGGGGTGTTCCCTCCAAGTGGTCTGAATCCCCACTAAAAGGGGACACTCTCTATCAATCAACCAGGGGTTTACTAATCCGGGGTTAACATTGTTGATCAACCCCCGTATTTTGAAGCTCATGGTGATTCGTCCATCGGCTCGCTCGTTTTTGGTTTGCGATTGGCCCAAAGGCAAGTCATGCTTCGGCATGGCGAGGTGGATACACCGGGCACTGGGTAACCACCCCTTAAAACAATGGGGTTCATACAACCACCGAAATTTTACCTCGGGAGTTTCATCCTCCAAATTGGGTCAACCAGTCTTTTAGTAATTTTCGTAGGGGTTGAAGCCCAAAAGGTTGTAACAGTGGCCGTAGATGAATTGCATGGCAGATTCAAAGTGCGGCTCAGGCACCAGCAAGTTTTTTTTTGGGGGGGCTTTCCCTGGGCTGCAACTCGCCAGGCTGGCGAATCAGCAAGCCGATCCTGTGCTGCACGTGCAGGACGTGTCTTCGCGAGTAAGCGCCGGTGAGAACCCCTGCGTTGGTTTCGAGTAAGGTATTCCTTGGTGGTGCCCAGCCATCTCCTTAGTTGTATTTCTTCCTTTTTTGTTTCTTCGGTTGTTAGGTGGTATTTTCCACTAAGTCACTGAACGTTAGCCTGTTAGCAGGATCTGGGAACAGCCCAGATTTCCTTGCACATTCCCTTGGGTCCCAGTACCCAACTTTGCACCCTCAAGAAAGACAACCGGGCCCCTCAACTGTTACAGTCTAATTTTACTACGCCATGTGCTGTCACGGCGCCATGTCCAACCATGCTGATAGAGGCTTGGGTTTGAGTATAATCAAGCCTCGAGCCTCTGATTCAGGGAAGTACCTAGTGCTTCCAGCTACCACTCTCATAGTGAAGGTTTTTCTTTCCATTCAGACTCTAGTTTTGTGCAATGCACGAGTCATTAAAGGTTGTTTCGCCTCAAAACACCTGACCTCATCCACTTGCCAGCATTGGGATATCCCATCGCCCGCGCGCAATTTATATATATATGTATATACATATATATATATATATATACGTATATATGTATCCGTAATCACCTTACCTCATCGACTTACCATTGGGATACCCACAGCACCCACTCGCACGCGAAAATCCATCCGAATCCCGTGGTTTTTTTCTCATCGCAGGACCTGGTGCGCCTGTAAGGAGGACTCCCTGGATGTGCGCTCCAGCAAGTCCCCTTTCGTCCTGGAGGCGACACTTCCCCCCCCGGCCGAGTTTTGGGCCCGAACAACCTCGCGTCTAGCGGGGGCGAGTTGAGCTTATGTTCGTTTCTAAAAAGGCTGGAAGAACTGCCCATGTTCTGCTGGCAAGGCTTGTTTGTTGCAGTTCCTTCACAGATTGGTTGCTTGCACCATTTGTTTTAGTAGTGGTGGTTTGTTTGTTAATTTGGGGGGGAGCATCTCAAGGTATGTTGATACTGCCATGCTCCGAAAGATGACCAACCCCAACTTGGCGTCCTGCGCGGCCAGGTGGGCAGTGATGCGAAGCCATCCGAAAGGCGCGACTTGAAGATTGCACAGGCCCAAAGAAGGCCCCCCCCCCCCCCAAGGGAGATTCCTCAAAAAATGTGTGGGCTTTTGGGGTTCTATGTTAAACTGACGTACCTCTTGGGCCAATTTGAAAGGAGTTTGGGGTGTTGGAAGGGGCCACATGAACTCGTGCGAGTCAAATTCACCCTTGGCGAAGGTGCTTGAGTCCTCTTTTTGTTTGTCACTTCTGGTGAGTGGCAAGTAGGAGGTGTGCTCCTGAACAAGGTGCAGAGCCGTAAGTCTTAAGCCTGCACTTTTCTCCTTGGTGGGGGCGGAAGGTGGATGCATTTGGGGGGTTTAAGACGGCTTACAGTGAGGACTGAGAGGGGGATTAGGTTTGCAACAGCACGTTTTGCGCAGGTTTTGAGAAATGATGCCACCCCATAAGGCAGGATTGCAACGGGGAGCCTGGTCACCTGTGAGGCCGGCCTAGAGACTTCTGGCACTACAGGCGGGCGGAAGGTTGTCAGAATCATGGCAAATCCCCAAGGTTCAAATGAACCCGGGGGCCATTTCCCAAGTGGCCAACCACTTTTTCGGTTGACCATCAAAAGTCGGCTTGAGCTTGGGACATGCGCAAGAGCAGAGCAGAGGGTCACACATGCGGTTTCGGTTGCAGGTGCGGACGGACTTGTCAATCTCTGCCAGTTGGTGGAATTGACATCGCGTCGCTAATTCATGGTTCTTACGCTGTTTCTTCCAGCCCTAGCCCAAGAAAGTGTTGGGAGGGGCCGGAAGGGCAAGTTGGTTTTGCATGCGAAATCGCAAAGACCAAGAGTGTCGTTTTGCCCGTGGCGTTGGGATGCTTGAGACGAGCCCAAGCGCCAAACAAAACCTTGCGAGCTGTCCTGTCCTGTTGGAAAGCTGTGAGCGAGCATCGGACTGAACAGGGCCATCATCAATGATCCCCTTTGGTTAAGAATTAAGTGAGGATTTCAAAGGAGACGACGGTGGGGGTGGCTGCTCGCAAGCACTGGCCAGCGCTGAGCGGCAGTCCATACTTGGAAGGCCAGGCGAAGCCATCAGCGTTGGAATCACCGGCTTGAGGCACCGTGGATTCTCGACAGATTGCAAGCTTCCATTTGGTTAGGAATATTTTTATTTTGTTTCCTCTGTTGGTTTTAAAGTGAATGTATCACTACTGGAATTATTTTATCTTTCCAGGGGACTTTAAGCAAACGGAGGCAAGTGAACCAAAGCCGTGCACACTGAAGAACAGACATGTATGTAGAAGAATATATAGCACGACACATCTTACGTTGGCAGTGACAAATGGCGGTTGAGAATGCTTGCTTTCTCTGCCTAGGTCCCCCAGTAGTGCCCTTTCTCACCCCTTTTGTGGTTGGGAGGGCTCCTACTAAAATAGACTACAGAAAAAAGTTGGTACCCTTAGTCTAACCTCTCTACTGGAGGACCTAGCTGCAGTATTGAAGGAATCAGCCGGAGATCGCAAAGGCGCTGCGGAGTCAATCAGAAAAGCGCGAGGGCAAGTCTGAGTCGAGGTGGTTGCAGCCAGAAACGCCATGCGCCGAAGGCTCCGGGTAAGATTCCAGTTGGTGTAACGAGGTATTCAATTGAATACATGGGTCTTTCCTTTTGGAGTGGGTATCTCCTTTTTGCGGGGTTTGAAAGGAAATCAAGAGGATTGGGGAGCCCTTGCGGTTTGCGCTAGGGAAACAGAGGCGACCACACATATTGCAGTCAGCGACTTGCGACGGACGACCTTCCCAATCTATGCGCTCCGCCCGACCTGGTAACAGCCAATTTTAAGTGGAGTAGCCAAAGGCTCCCTGTCAAAACTGGGAAGGTTAACCGAACCCAACCCCCCAGCCCACCCCCCTATTCGGGTGGGCTGTCAACCCCCCCCTCTCCCCCGCCCGGGTGGGAGATGACCTGAAAGATGGAGATGGCTCGCAGGGTTTTCGCCCCCCATTTTTTTTTGCTTTGCTTCAACGGTGCCGACGTGTTCTTTTGATTGTCACATTTGACCCATGCCTGAACCCCATGCCACTCAAGTTTCCAACGCGCCATTCTAATGGATCCCAAGCGGCCAGCCATCAAACAGGAGCGCAGTTGAACTTTACGGGAAGGCCAGGCCGAAGGCCAACTTGGCTGGTGAAAAACCAATTCCAAACACCTCTGGTTACAAGCCTTGAAAACTAGTGGGTTTTAGATGCAAGACGGGCACTCACAAAATTTGCATCCTCGAACCCCCAGTCGCCGAGTCACACATGGGGCAACTTTTGGGTGTGTCCTTATTTTTTTGGTTTGTTAAACCAAAAGGCTGGTCGCTATTTGGAGGGTTTTCTGGAATCAGTGAAACCCCTTCAAACCTCTGAAACACTAGTTACACCAATGGTTACCTACTTCCCACGCAAATGGGAATCCCCTTTTTGTTGGTTTGAGAAAGGGAAACCAAAGTATGACACACCAAAAAAGGAATGACCTCTGGGTTTCCACCGTATAAACATATATATATATATATATAACCACTCAACAAATCGGGGGGTCGCAACTTCAAGCCCCCTGAAACACCAGGTAAAACCATGGTTACCTACTTACCTCACGAATGGGACTCCCCTTTCTTGGTGAATGTTTTGGAGAGGGAGAACTCCAAGAGGAAACACTTCCTCATTTTGCGGGGTCGAAACCAAGACAAGCCATTGACTTCCATTTGCTGAACGTTTTTTCTTATCCCTTGTTGGTTTTAAAGGGCCTCGATCACTGGACTTGTTTTTTTAACCCATGTTTCGGCTTCCATCTGCTGAACCGACTATGTTCTTCATTTCCCGAGCCCACCGAAAAGACGAGGCACCCCAATTGACGAGGTTTTCGCAGTGCCCTTTCTCGGCCCTTTCTTTTGGGGGGAGGGTTCCCCTATATACTAAAATCGACCGCGGACGGAAACATCGGAGCTCTTGAGTGGAGGACCTTGAGCACGCCAGGTGGTGCTGGAAGAGGCCTGGCGAGCGCTGGTGGCCTGGCACGGGCTGCACTCCATGGCGTTGCCCCGCAAGGCGGCGGAGAAGTTTTCCGGTCGCAGGGGCCCCCCTCAGCCCCCGGCACCCCGGGGGTTTCCGGGCACAACGGGGGCCAAGGTTGCATGGCCATATGGCCCCAGAGCCGGCACCCCGGTGTTTTCGAATGTTTTCTTTTATGTTTATTTTCCGTCTTTTTGGGGAGGGGGGGTTGCCAACTGGAACAACGGCACAGTAAATGGATGGATGTTTGGATGTCTCCAGCAGCAAGGATCAGACATCGCCCTTCCCAGCTTGTCTTTGCTCAGTGCTGGTGATTGCTCGCGGCACCTGGGGTGTCTCAAAATGAAGCGATCCCTCAAAAGATTGATTTTCTTGTTTTGCCGGAACACCACAGGGAGCCCCAGACCCAAGACGAACACGTCACCTTGTGGTGCCATACAGTTCCTTAAAAGGCAAGCACCTTCCTACCCTACCTGGGCCCTACCGACCCGCCCGCACGGCTTCTTGCAGGTCATCGAGGTGGAAGGGCGGACGGAGCTGGAGATGTACCCGCTGCGGCTCCACGTGAGCAAGACAGACAGGGCGCGGGGTGCGGGGCGCGGGGGGTGGCGGGGTTGGCGGGTCGCGGGGTTGGGGTGGAAGGATTCTGATAAAGAGGTTGTCATGCTTTCCATTTCGCACCCCCTAAGAAAGCATGGTTGAGACCATTGTTGGCAGGTATATTCGTAGGGAATCGAAACACTGCAGGGTCTTTGGGTTAAAACTAAAGGGCGCCTTCTAGAGAGCAAAGTCCCAGCCCAAAGAGCTATCGGCCCATTTCAGGGTGGTTTCTGTTGGCCGAACCTGGTGGTTTGGAACCATGGAAGCAGCAGAGTCCTACCCGGGTGTCACGTGAGGCAGGCCGCATCATCCTCATGGAGAGGTTCCTGGAGTGTGGGGCTCGGAATATGCGCCATGGGTTGGTCAGATTTCGAGGGGCAAATGGGAAGGTGCCGTAAGCGGAGTTGGCCGCGTTTGCCCGCGTTTCCGGGCTTTCGGCTTTCGACACACACCGAGCCCATTCCAAACACAAGAAACGAGTCTGGCAGGTGCGTCGCAGCCGAAGGTGAATTCGGGTATGTGTCAGTGGGCCCAATTCAGCCGTGGGTGCCATGCTGAAAAGAAGCATTGGTGAGAGGCTAGGTGATTCGGGCCCAAACACCAGGAACCGGCCACCACCGATTTTTCGAGGTGCGATAGGGAATGAGAAATGGAAAATGATTGCCGTTTGGGGATTCGATTCCTGAAATTGGATAGACGGTTTAGAACTACCTGGAGTCTCCATGACCCTTTAAACATGCATGGGGGCATTACCCTAAATAATGGGGTCATGGACCTATTTTTAAAGGGTCATGGAGACTCTATAGGGATGCAACTCGTTCCCTCTCAATTTCCCACCAGCGATGTGAGAAACTTCTTCTCCGAGGATCAGTCGGGCCGCCTTGGCCAGCGAGGCCAAGCAGGCGCCGTGGCAAAGAAAACCTTGAAATCGACGCCGCGGCTCGTCAAAGGGGTGGTGCCCTTTGTCTCCTTTTTGGAAGAACAGTGGGGGCCCTCTGAAAAAGCAACTGCACCAGAAAAGGGTGCCCACACTGATCCTGTGGCCACTGGGGGTCGAGTGAATGGCGCATTTCCTGGCCATTTTGGGTGATTCACATGCAGGGATGGTGCCATTTGTGTTCACCTCGGCGTGTAGGTAAGCAGGAAAATCACCCTGGTTGACAAGAGCGAACATCCCTGACACATCCCTGACCTACAAGAATGACAAGGGCAGCACAGGCTTGATGAAACAACGCACTGTTGCTGGTTTTTGGGGCAAAGTGGATAGACAAAAAACAGCAACTGGCGATCCAGGCTGTTTTGTTTTGTTCTGTTTTGGGGTGGCGGCAAACGTATGGCCCCTGGCTGGGATTCACCACCTCGTGCCGGCCGAAGACAAAGGGATGCACAAAACGGTCCTATTTGGTGTGTTGTGAATATGAACATATATATTTTACCATATGTATATATATATATATAAATATGGGTTGTCGTTTTGAGGTCCCCATCGGTGGTTTTCAACTGGCACCAACTCCAAAAACCGGCGATCCCATATGTACCCTAAGGACCGTCCTTTGAACAGGGGGTTAGGTGACAGTGGCATTTGCCACAGAAGGGTTGCTCACCATTCTCGAAAATTGAAGAACGTCAGTCAAAGGGGGGCGAATTGCAGGGAACCTTGACTAGTTATAATTAGTCTTGGTGTCAAAGAGAGACAGGGTACACGGCCCATTGTTTTTTTTTGGTGTGTGTGTGTGTGTTTTTTTTCCTTTTTATGGCTGCCGGTTGTTCGCCTTTTGGAGGGTTGGAGGATCCATCCTTGATTTTCCGTTGGCGGGGGACCTTCAGCCTAGACCTATCGAGCAGCTGGCTCAAGCAAGTTGAGACCCATGGGCCAAACAAACACGCCAATGAACCACCAATCCAAGCCACCAATTCGTGGGAAGCTGTTTTTTTTGTTTTTCCCGTATTTGGCCCCAAAAAGGTGAACCTGCTCTTTTCTGGGTCCAAGCAAACAAGCCACGTACCTGAAGCTGTTCTTGTCTGGTCCGCTTTTTCCAACCAGTCCGATTGCCCAATTTGGCGAGGAGGCCTGCGATTTGCACAGTCTCGCGGAAGAGTCCGACGTGGTACGCTGCCGGTCGAAGGGGGAAGGCCTAGCTTGGATTTGAGAGCGGCTTCAACCTGAAACTTTGGGGGATTACCTTGGGGTATCAGCTGCGTCGAACCTTCTCGGTCCGGGTTCAGGGTACTCAGGTGAGTTCGTGTACTTTGCGAGGGCTGGCGGTAGCGGCTCAAGCAACCAGTTTCTTTAGAAAGGAGGCCTGAATGTCGAGCCAGTGGTTCGAAAAGCAACTAGTTGGAGGCTGCGCCGGGGCCACTTTCTACATTGAGTTGGTGACGAGGCAAACAAGAAATGAAGAATCCAAGGGTTGCAGATTCCAGGTTCCATCGTCTCCTCGCTGAGTCTTTGGCCCAGTGCATCCCAGTTACCCATATAGCAAGCAAGCAGCTGTTTGCCTTTTTGCTTAGAAGGTGGTTTGCTGGGCAAAACCAAGAAAATGGATCCGCTGGGTGGTGCAAGATGTGCAAGGGGAGGACTTGAGACTTGCAGGTACTTTGCCACAGGATCAATGAGGACTTCGAATTCGTTGAGGTGGATGAGAGCGGGGACCCCGCCTGAAACAACTGCTGACCTGAGCCTGCAGGGTGAGCTTTAGCTTTGACTCATTCGGACTTGACGTACTTCTTGGCCATTTTGGAGGCGAACTGTGAGCTTGGTTGTGGTTTCTGGCCGACTCGCACGCCCCTCTTTCCTTCGAGAGTTGGACAAGAGTCAAAATCCCGGATGATGTGGTTTTCACGTGCTCAGAGGATGCAGACTCATACAGCACAGGAGCAACGGTTCGATGGGTTTTCCGGCCGCTTTTCTCCGGAAAAAAAACGAGGCAAGACGCTCCATGCGCTGCACTTCTTAGATGGCGACCAGTCCGGACGCCCGGCAACAGCCGCAGAAAGGGAAGTGCGGAGGGTGCCGAAGCTTTGATGCCGCCATAGCCCTCCATGGGCCGGGAGTGAAAGCAACATGATGTATATTGGGGGGCCTCCTGCTGCCTCCAGTTCGTTGTTGGCATGTCCGCCCAGCCAGGCTTTTCCCTCGGCAAGTTTCTGGTTCACAACCCCAGCCCCAAAGACGTCTTTGGGTAGCGCCCAAAATCCCTGTTCACTTGAGGTGGTTTTACTTGGTTTCATGTGAGTATTTGAGAATATCATCGGTAGTCGTCGGTAGTATTTGGGGCACCCTGGGGTTAGCAAAATCTGCCAAAACCCTGAACACCAATGGTGACCACCCAAACTCGATACCCCCCGCTTTAACCTCCAAACACTGAACACTGGCATTCAGCTTCTTTTGGGATATTTTCGGGGATTTAGTCTACTCATGTTTGTGGCTTATAGAACCTCCTTGAATCCAACAGCCAGGGATCTTGGATCTTTCCAAATGGAACCTGAAAAACAAATCGAGGGGTCCTTTGGACGATTTTCCTTGAACATGGACCGAGGCTCTGTTGGAACTTACTGGACTGCAGGGTTAAACCCAGTTCGCCGGTTTTGGGGGGTGTGGCTCGGTTCCAGGGCGCGACGACCGGAAACCGGTCACCCAACTTGGGTTTGGGGCGGGCTTGGTTTTTCCCGTCGGCGTGCGCGGCGTCTGAAGCCTCGTGGGAGAGGTTGCTGCTGCGCTTCAAGGGCGCGCCGCTGGGCCGCAGCACCAGCCGCCCGGAGCCCCGGGGAGGATCGAGCACCAGCCGTCAGATCGAGGGTGTTTGGGTTGCGGTTCGGGGGGGAGGGCGGTGCGTTTGCGGTTCATGCTGTTCTTTTCTCTTTGCTTTTTCTGGGGGGGGGGGGTCAGGTAACCCCTAGTTAGTTTGGATTTGGGTTTGAATTCCTGGATCTTGTGCCCCAATGGCACCTCCAAACCAGGCTCCAAAACAGCAATTGGAGGGGAGCTGACCCAGTGCTTCCAGCAAGCCACTTTTGGGAACCGGGGGGTAGCCCCGTGGTTGCCTGAAGTGGCTTGCCTGGGAGCACGTGATAGTTTGGTGTGTCGCAAAGCGTTTGGCCTTGGGACTTCATTTGGATGAATGCTTCGGCTTCGGGATGGATGGATCCCAACAAGGAGCTTGTTGAGCATCGAAACAAGAGCTCGGGCAATGCCAGGTGCAGGGGACTAAGCTACTGGAGGATATTTTTGGATAGATTGTGACTCAGGTTGCTCTTGACACTTGAGATGTGGGTTCTCCCTTTGCTGGTGAAAGATAGCGCTTCTTTTATGTGGGTTACGGGGATGACCTTCACCCACGGCAACACAATTGTACCATCCCTCACCCAACTCCTGTGTGAGAGAATTCAAGGGTGGCTGCTTTTCGGAGAAGTTCAAAGGAGGAAGCCAACTTTTGGGAGGATATGATCCATTTTCCCGACACGCGGCCGGCTTTCTGAATCGCGAAGTTTCTTGGCATGGCCAAGTCGAAGCGCTTTGAGCTCGCTCGGACGCAGCTGTCCATCGGAAAAACAAATTGGTCGCCTTGTTGCGTATACACAACAATTTGCCTGGGAGAAAGGCGAATCAGGCTTTTTCCCCGGTGCTGCGGTTCCATGGGGCGATTTTTGGGCCCATAGAATCCTTCGCATCGTCCCAGTTGGGCCGGGAGAAGCCATATGGTGTCAGATGTTTGATGTGATTCATACATCTTGGTTTCAGAGCGGCCTGTATTTCTCCCTGACGAGAATGATTTGTGCCAGCCAGCCTTTCACGTTCCCCGCTGCAGCCCTTCGTTAGTTTGTAGATGATTTGCATGGTCTTAAACCACATCTCCAGTACTGTACTTCACCAAAGCTCAAAGAACAAGACATACTGTGAATGGAAGAAATCCTGCATCACCTGAAAACCGCAGAATGATGATTCCCCTGTGCATACGTGGTGCAAAATGGATTTCGGCCATCCACAGAATTGAGCCACACAACCGGGGGAGCTTTCGTGGGCTCCGTGAGGCCTTGTGAGTACAAAGAACCACGGCCATGTCGGGTTGCAGAATCTCGGCCGGAGGCTCAGCGGATCAAAGACCATCGGGATGTAAAAAAACAGGTACCGAGCGAGGTCTAAGTTCCATTGGTGCATAGGCCTTGAGTACTGATGGCTGGCCCTTGCCAGAAATGTTCAGATAGGGACTGCAAACGCTTGGCGCTCTGTAGATGTCAAGCTCCCTGCCAACGGACCCAAGTCTTCTCGGTAGCGACCTGGATCTCGGCTAGGAGAGCAAGAGAGCGAGTCCGAGAGCATGCACCGCATGGACTGGCAAGCTTGCCCGAGAACACCTGAGCCTATTTCTTGTGAAGGTCTGGTGCTGGCTGATTTGATTCAGGCTGGCAGCTAGTCACTCAGAAAGTACCTAGCGAGCAACAGCAATGCAGAGGCACCAGCGACGCTAAGGCAATACCTGCTACATGAATGCTGCGATACAGTGCTGGGCGCTCGAGCGGCACAGTGAGCTTCGATGCAGAGACCCCAAGGCCCTTGAGGGCTGCGGCCAGGTTTTTTGGCGGTCCTGTTTTGAGGGCACCCATTTTGGGGTTGGTTTCGGATAGCTTCACTTTCCGGCGCAGCTCCCTTGTTTCATCGCTGATCTCGGCTCATCTGGACGAAAGCTGGAGTTCTGAAGTAGAATTTAAGCAGATGAATCCAGATGTCAATGGGTTGACGACCTCAACAACGCCAGCCAAAGCAGCCCTTGTGCTTGAAAGGTGCATGCTGGAACAAACCTCCTGCAATCCGAACAGAAGACGCATCTTTCACTGACGTTTGCGGATCCTGTCCTAAAATCTGAAACAGACCCCGCAAAACGAGGTTGCAAAGGGGTCTGAGTTGAGATATTTATATACCCATTTAGATATGTCAACAAACTGGACGGCTTTCGCATGCATTTCACCTTTCCCTTGTTTTACCCCCAGGTCTTCCCTTACTTTACCTTGGTTTCAGTTCCGTGTTTTGTTTGGTTGGACGACATGTGAGAAAAACCACATGGCCAATGGGGCCATGGGGTGCCCGCCTGGTTGCGCTGCTCCTTTCGCTGCTGGGGCTCCTTCCGGTGCTTCGTCGCGCGCGCCAATTTGGCTTCGGTTCGCATCAAGCAGAGGGGAGGCGGGGCCGGGGGGAGGGGGGGCACAGTGGGTGCCGCAGTTATGGCTCTGGAACGGTGCACCCAGTTGTTTCAGGTGCCTTGTAATTGGTGGTTTGGAGCCAGGTGGTTTGGTGGTCGGCTGATTTGCAATGCACAACCCTTGTATTGTTCAAGCACCAACTCACGGGCCAGGGCGTCGGCTTCCCAAGGTCGCCCAACGCGAGGGCCTTTTTTGGAGAAAGGACGCTTCCCCGAGAAATGAGACCGGAGTGCGTCTTCAGAACGGTGAGGACACCCTTGACTGGTGGTTAGCATTGGGTTTTTGTTTCAATTCCGGTTCTTGAGGGTGAGTTTTGGGAACCACCTTGGCTCTGAACCGGGGTAGACTCAGGATACATGTTACATTTTACCAGTGGCTCAAAGTGAGGCAAATAAAATACAGATTCTATAACTGGGCCCAACTCTAATCATGTTAACTTTCTGTGATTCCCTTGGATGGCGCCATGGGACACTTCACTCGGGGCAAAAAAACAGCTGAGAACAACCTTGAGCTTGAGGTGAGCGTTCCAGCTACAGGGCAAAGACCAGCCTGGGGAATTCACCAATTGGACGTGTTTTTTTCTTTAACAATCAACAATAAGACAATCAAGGACTGCTTGGAAGCCAGAACCCATTAGCCACATCTTGGGATCCAGCCCTGGATAAATATGAGGGCCCACTCCGAAAGAAGGCCCCTAAGAAGGGATTTTCCTACATGCAACACACGTGAGACACTTGTCTCAAGCACTTTTTTGGGGGGTGGTCAGCCAAGTGGTTCATCCAACCAGGCTTCAGCTTGCTTGGATGAGGTCAAGCGCCAGCTCCGCCTTGGACGACCGCGCATCCGCAAGCGCTCAGTCTGCTGCAACCGCAAGCCGCCCTGGGTCGAGCACCTTGCGTGTGGCGAGCTCCGGCACAACTTCAAGCACAAGTACCTCAAGTGCGTCCACCACCCCAAGCACTTACGGAGCCTCCACCCCAAGCACTTCCAGTGCTTCCCCCCCCTCACCGTCCGGCCCGTCTCCGCCTCTTCCGGCGCTTCCCGCGGTGGCGCTGATGGTCTGCGGCCAGGCGCGGAGCTTCCGGGCGGAGCGGTCCCTCAACGACTTCGTGGTGAGGCCGTGGCAGGCGCGGGCCGAAAGCTTGGAGCATAGGTGTGCTTTTTGGTTGTTTTGGTTTGTTTAAAGGGCGATTCCTGGTTTACCTGGTGGTTCAATCAACTACCAGGGAAATCCATCTACGAAAAAATCAGCTTCCCTCTAGAGAGGTTTGGTGGTTTTTGGTGGGGTTCTCATTTACGCATCAGCCGCCAGGGGCCGACCCAAACCACCAAGGGGTTACCTGAACAATGGCGGGTTTTCCTGGTTTCCCTCTCGCAACCAAAAGGGGGTCCCCCAAAAAAGAGGCACCCAGTTCTTGGTACAACCTTTTGGCTCCTTCTTGGAGCCAGAACCCAAGGCGAGCTCGGGAGTCATTGAGCTCCATTTCCTATTGGGTTTTGGACTGTGCACACAAATTCAGATTGACAAATGGGTCTGAACTTCAATTAGGGACCCTGTGGACTTTTCGGGGATCCATGTCCACCACTTTGGAGAATGGGGTTCCCAAAAAGAAACTCATAGCCCTCACTTGGAGCGATTCTCATGGCTCAGCAGATCAGGAGGTGCAGCACTGGCACCTGCACGTCTTCGGGTGCTTCGACAAAGTGCCGAGGTGGGATCGGACGGGCTGCGGAACAGCTCGGGGATCTCAATAGGAATGTGCATGTTTTTGTTGTTTTTTTGGTGTGGGGGGGGATCACCTGCAAAATAGACGGGTTTCCTTTTGATGTTCCTGTAAGACCACCCCACATGGCAAATTGAACAAAAACACACCCATATGTTTGTTTTTTGTTGTTGTTTTTTTGGGGGGGATCCTCGATTGTTTTGGACTGCTTTTAAGGGAAGTCCAACAGAAACCGACCAGATTGAGGCTTCCCCCCGTTTTGTGTGTGTGTGTGTGTGCGTCTTCAGAGGTACCTACTGTTCCCATGTGGGAAGGTGGTTTTTGTTGGTCACCGCTCACGGAGATTTCGTCAGGGGACTTGCCTGGGTCTGGGCTTGCGCTGTAGCCCAACAAAAGAAGGGCAGTCGGAGCTCGAAACGATCCTTCCAGAAAGTTTCTTGCCGAATCCTTCCAAGAACCCCTACAAAGGTTCTGAGCGCCCTGTTTGCGGGGAAGGGTTTCCTCCCCACAAGACATGGTGCTGCCCTCTCCAATCCGCCCAATGCTCGGATGACACGAACCAGGGATGCCACCTGTCGAGCACACGAGAACCGGGGAACGGATCAACAAACCTCACGGGTTTCTAAATGGGTATGGGGCTTTTTTGGGGGGGAACCGCCAAAATGTTGGGGCTCTTTTTTGTATGGTTTCCCTTTGGAACCACCAAAAAGGGGGGGGTGCCAACTGGGCCAACTCCAGCACCCAGATGGGTTCCCCGCCAAAATTTGGTGCTTCTCTTGCTTGGTTTCCCAGTAGTGCCCTTTTGCCCTTTGTTGCGGGAGGGTTCCCCTAAAATAGACAAAACCGAACAAACAAATCGGGTACCAACTGATTCTAAGCTCTCAAATCTGGACCTAAAAAGGAGAAAAAGTTGGTACCAACTGATTCTAAGCTCTCAAATCTGGACCTAAAAAGGAGAAACAGTTGGTACCAACTGATTCTAAGCTCTCAAATCTGGACCTAAAAAGGAGAAAAAATCGGGTACCAACTGATTCTAAGCTCTCAAATCTGGACCTAAAAACGAGATCCCACCATCCCATGGTTCCTTTGGGGTTTGGCGTTAGGTCCAAGCTTCGGTTCACCGCGGCCTGGGCCTATCGCGCCAGCACGCAGCTGGAGAGGCTGGGCCTCTGCGCCCAGAGGAGCCGCCGCCCGCCGGGCCCCGCGGGAAAGCGTTGCGTCTCCGCCCGGAGAAAGAAATCGACGGTAAGAATTTGGGGAGGCGGATGTCTCATTTCTTGGCTATTTGGACTTGCCATTTTGGACATGTTAGACTTCTTCATGGCTGTTTTGGATCTGTTGGACTTCCCTGTTGGTTGAAACAGGTCGGAATTTCAACTGGGCAAACAAGAAGTGAACAACTTCCTGCAGGGGCGTCTCGCTTGTAACCAAAATGTTGGATAGGTGTTGATTCTTACTCATGGTTTGCTTTTCTTGGTGGCTCCCAGCCATCCCCTTAGCCTTTTAGCTTCTTTGTTTAGTGGCAGTTTCCATTTAACCCACAAGTCAAACTTGTAGCGGCGCCCGGAAAAGGGTTTCCCTTTGACCCAGCCAGGTGCTCGGCTTGTGCCAGGGTCCGGGCGCCGGATGTCCTCTCCGTTCCAGGGCTCAATGAAACAAAAAAACAACAACCAAAAAACAGAAGCAACCTCTTACATCACCAAACAACCTCAATGTGTTTTCTTCAACAAACAACCTCAACTGAACAAGAACACAACCACAGCGTACGCCATATACTGAACGTGACTGTCTTGATCTAACAAACACCATATGCCGTATAGATCAAACGTGCCTGTTTGCTTGGTTGTTTGTTTGTTCAAAAAGTCACGTTAAGTATTTGGCATATGGTGTGGTTGTGTTCTTTTTCAATTGAGGTTGTTTGTTGAAGAAAACACATTGAGGCTGTTTGTTCTTTTCCGTCTCTCGCCCGAAGCTTCGATCCAGGATCCTTGCCTTCGGCGCCGGAGGTGCCGCGGGTGTCTTGAATGCAATGGGCACAGTGCTTCCAGGCGCCATAGGGAATGACTTTACTCTTCGAGTTTCTTTCCTCTAGGTTTTACTCAGGGCTCCTTAAAAGATACATGTTGCAACCGTTTGAAACATGTGGCTTTTTCAACACCAAAATAAAGGAAAACCACCATTTACAAGGCAATGTTCCGGTGTATACTGTAAGGATCCCTGTTACTCTGCATGGTTTCCAACTTGGGAACCTACTATACTGGCAACCTTGCTTCAGCAGGGAATGAGAAATGGAATGACCCTTAGAAAAACCATCTATCGGAGTTGGCTTCTTTTCTTCCGGAATCCCCAAAAAGCAGTTCATTCAACCAACACCCGGACGCAGAACCTACTATAGCGGCGAAAACGCCTGGAAGCGCTGGGTTATATGTTTCAACGTCTTGGCCAAGAGATGTTTCCATGAGCAAAGGCTTCAGCTTGGTGCCTACTTGTGCCACCAAGCCGTTTTCTCGGCTTCTCTTACATCAACAGGACGGGATTCGCAGATCGGATCGATGGATCGAAGGTGTGGAGTACCGCTGGTTCGTGCGGTGGCGCCCCGACTTCGTGGCCTTCAAAAGGGTGCTGCACCCCTCGAAGCTGAGCCAGGACTGCATCGCCTGCCGCTTTCGGCAGGCAGCTTGGGTTCATCGGGTTTTGGCGGGTTTCAAAACGAAGACGTCGGCGGATCGGCGGCAAATCGGGAGCCATGAAGCGCGAGGCGGCTGCGTTGGTTTTGGGTTTGGGGGCTCTCTTGGGTGGCTGGTCTTGTTTTGAGGGATTGCGCCCCCCAAAGTGGCGCAAGGGGTTTCCTTTTGAAGCCACAACAAAAAGAATCAATTTCCCATTTTGAAGCCGCAAAAACAGCGGTACCTTCAAGAAGGAGACACACCCAGCAAACGGGGAAAGACCCCAGACTGAGCTTGCGGAGTGCGGTTCTCTGGCTCTCCCCCTTTCAGGTCATTACCTCAAACGGGTGATTCCTTACTGGGCAAGGTACAAGGGAGCCAACCGATTTTGCGGGTCCCCCCTTTTGGAGACAAAGTCATAGTATGGATTTGTGTTATTGTGGAGGACTACACTTTTGAAAGGTAGCCTTAAAGGGAAGCCGATGCGAATAGTTAGCACAATTCTGAAGCTCCACTATGTTAATTAATGCACACCCTTTTGCAATTGGGAACCCGTGTCGGGTGCTGCACATCCTTTTTTTGTTGGCGGGGGTTTAAGCATTACGCTCTGAACAGCAGCACCAACACATCAGGTGTCCTTTTTAGGTTAGTTGGTTAGAAATAGATGGCACTGGTTTAGATTTGGATTCTTCCCCATTTGCCAACCATCAATATTTCCAAAGAATTGCTCGGTGTTTGCCTTTTTGGTGGGCACCAGGTTCCATAATGAAACCGGTGGCAAGCACACCAAACCCTGGCAGGTGGGGGGCATGAAGCAGGCTGGGCGACGGGAAGTGGGCAGGAGATGGGCGCCCCGCTTTGGGGGGGGGGCAGTTTTTGGCGGGTCAGCTGATTGCATGGGAGTGCGCATTCTGGAATCGTGAGCAATGGCTAGAACATAGGGCCCTTGCGAAAGCCATGAGCAACACCTGCGCACTGAGTCAGAATGCCAACTTGAATCGATCAGAATCCAAAGGAGTCCCAAATCGGCTTCAAAACAAAACCGCCGTCCTTTCTTTTGGTTTCCCTGAAGCCGGATTCCTTTCCAACGTGAGTGTTGATTTCACGCACTCCCAGCGCCTCCTCGACGATGGCCGTGCCCAAAATTATGACATCAAGGCCATGTGAGCCACAACAAAACCCGGGTAGAGGAAGGTTAGCAAGGGAGAATCCCAAGCATAAATGAGTGCAGCCGCCTTGTAAATTCTTTACATGGTTCTGGGTAGACCATGTTAAATACCAGGTTTTGACTGCGACTCATGTCTAACTCTTCCACTGTCTCATTGCGTGCTCGTTGGCCTACCCCACCTTTTCCCGACTGAAAGTGCCGGACAAGGGTCTTACGGTTGGTGGTAGCGTCAAACTGCAACCCATCATTGAGAATGATGCCTTGGACAAACCCACATTTCTCTGCTGCCCCTCTCGACCTCCTTGAAGACACCATCAACTTATCTAAGTTTAAGGGCAATGCTAGATGAAGACGGGGGGGGTGCAAGAAAACGAAGACACTGGTTGTTACAGTCACAGCTCACATGACGAGAAAAACCGTGTGAAATTTGCAGACGGAATCGACAGTTCTGACGGCAAGCAACGCCAATTGCTGCGGCGCCACGTTTGACAGTTTGTGATGGAACACTCTCAGACTCAGCGCTGTAGCGGATCAGGGACTCCCAGTCCCAGTCTCCTCATTCCCAACAATCACTGGTGCCAATCGCCTGGCGCGTGGGAACTAGGAGCAGGACACCCGATAACCCATCCAAAATCCCTGACTGGCTGCAGCCAGATTGGGAGTGCCTGCCGCCCATGCCAGGGACGGCTGTAGCTATCAGCATTACGGACTCCCACTCTGAGCACACCGATTTCCCAGGAACAAGGAGCCACCTTACCGCCGCGCAACCAGCATTCCTGACTGGCTTCAGCCACACTGGGATTGCATGACCCCAGCAGCAAGCCTTCAGGCAAGATGGAGCGCCATGAAGACGTCGGAGCGCAATGCCACGGAGGGCGCACGGTGTGACAGCCTGACCAACGACACATCAGAGGTTTGCTTCTGCGGAAGCTGACCCATGCTGGCTGCGCCCCACGTGCAAGTTGTTACAGTCAAATGTTTTACTTGCACTGCGGGGCCAATATTTTGAATTAAGCTTCCAGCTGGTCTGGCGCAGGCTGGATCCTGGCAGCTGCGCGTGAAGGAATGCACCACGAACAATCGCCGCCAAAGGGAGATTCTTGCCCTGGTATCGCTTGACAGAGACGAGTCCAAGAATGGCGCTTCTGGCGTGTTCGTCAGATCTGCAGACATTTATCACAGCGGGAACAGCTGTTTGACCTCTTGGACAGCAGCGCGTCGGTGATTCTGCGATTTTGCCAAGATCAACCTTTTCCAAGTCAACGGTTTTTTTCCGGTTACTGTGGCTTGCGTCAGCTTGCGCCAGAGTGGAGGACAAGAGCTGCTCGCCATGCAGGGCGTGTCTCCTTCAGAGGAAACGTGTCTTCAGCGCACACACACACACACAACAGCAGTCCACCGACCTCGGTGAACATGCGCCCCTTGGCGCGCTCGTTGCTTTGCTGCGTTTGCTGCCTTTCTGGTTTGTTACTTATAGCTGTGTATGACATGACCCTACTCGACGTTGCATACAGCGCTGCCGAGGTTTGCTGCCAAATCCCAGCTGCCATTTTGGCGGCCTACGTTACTGCAACTGATCCTGAGCAGAAGGAGAACCAAGCCGCCACCCAGATGTTGACCTATCGGCGATCTGGCAAAAAAGCCGGGCGACGCCCAACGAGCCAACGTCGGCGATTGCAGCCAGAGACCGTGACCAGAGATCAAAAGGCGCGGCAAACATCAGAATAGTCGATTGCATCAGCAGATTTGATGCTCTTTATCATGTGAGGTGTCACTGAAAACAACTGCTGTCTTCGTTTGCTGGCGCCCCCCGTCTTCATCTAGGGGCTTTGAAGAGCATTGCCCATAACTGAGATCACGCGTGCGCAACAACTGTAACTGACAAGGTCAGCCGCGAATTCACGTTTTGTGGTCTGTCGCGTTTGCTTCTCTGCCTCCTTTGCGTTCTTCTGTTTGTCATGGAAGGTTTTGACCTGGTCGTGGTGCTTCATCTTCTCCACGCACAACTTGGCCAATCTGAAACGTCATCAATCATGCTGTTACCGCGTGTCTGTCACCTCCACTCCTACCACGCGCCAGCGCAAGCGGAAGTCACTGCTTCTTCATTGCCTGTTGCGTGGTCTTGCGTATCATCATGATCCTCACCATGACCGTCCTTGTCTTTGTCCTGACTTTTCTGTTTATCCCCCGTGTCCTCATCATCTGACTCGGCGCTGTCATCAGGGTCTGACGAGCAATCCTCTGAAATTAGAAAGTGCCACATCACCGCCGATGTTCAGTCCACCAACAGCCTTGAGCACTGCGTGGCGTCGCAATTGCTTCAAAAACGATGACACGGCTTGAATGACACATGATCATATCAGTATTTCGAAGTAAAACTGAAAGCCCAGGATCAAAACCAGACCACGATAAGCGACCTCGGGCGCGGCGGTACCCCAAAAGCTTCCCTAAACAATTCCTGTAGGCTTCAACCCTCAACCCTCAGCCCTAAATCCAAAAGTTCCAAGCTTCACCCTTTTGAAATGAACAATTGTATGGGCTCTTTGCCCAGCTTGGCTCTTGGATGGTTTGGGGAAGCTTTCAGGGAGGTGGAGGGTTCCAAACAGGTTCCGCGGTTGTGGATACCACCAGGCTTTATTTTGTGGTTGCACACTTTAGCAGGTTTTTGGTACTACTTTTCTGATTACCAGTTTGTTTGCCACTTTTTCTTGGGGTTAGCCATCTTTCCTTCAACCGGGACATTCTGGTGGATTCCATGTGGACAGGAGGGCACAAGCTCCTCTTGCATTAAGCGGCACATGGTGTTGTTGTGCAGGTGGCTATGAACGAGGAATACCTTTCAAGTGGTTGGTGGACGTAGGGACGCCCTAAAAGTTGTAAGGAAGGGAAGAAGAAAAACCTCCAGTTGATTGTATCTAATCATGGTTTTGGGGTTCAATATGGTTGCTTGCAATATTTCGGGCAGCCACGGCTCATCATGTCCAGAGGGTCCTTTTCTGGACTTTCAGGTGACGAAGGGCATGCTCTCCTGGGATCCCCCGAACTGCCTGCTGCGCCGCGAATCAAGCATCCCCTGCGGGGACTGCGATGACCAGGTCTTCATGGTGCCACAAAAGTTCGCGCAGGACGCCGTGCGCTCGTTGATTGCAAGCGCGTTATTTTTTGCTCAAACCTTGCCTACTTGACATAAATTCAGGCCCCCCCCCCCTTTTGGGATCTCATGTTGTCCAACACTCTCTCCGCTTACACTTTTCCCAAAACACAGATGGGCCCTCTGCATTGGACCCCACGAAATTGTGTAAATCTCTTGCATGAGTTCCCCGAGTGCACCATCTAGAAAATGTTCCCTTTCCATTTTTGCGGTCAAGCATCTCAAGCGGGTTGTCAACCAGGGCATACTTGTTTGTTGGATCCTGGTGTGATCTGACCAAAGTGAAGGGCAGGGTTCATTGCCGCCCAGTTTGGTTTTATTCTTACCAATAGTTTTTCGTGTAGTCCCCCACCCTTTCCAGTTTTCTTTGACTTCTCCAGCTTTTCTGTCGGTCTGCTTCTTCCCGAAGGCAGCCCTGGTTGACCTCACCAACCGCTCCAAGAGTGCGGCCTACGTCTTCTTCGTGCACAAGCGCCGGGGGGAGAATGGGCTTACCATGGCCTGGGAGAACAACGTGAGAGTTCACCGCATCTGCCCGCTGGAGGTAGAAGGGACTTTGGACAAGTATGCGCCTGGGCTTTGAAAAGGGAGCATGACGACTAATCACATGTCCCTTTCCAGCCGCTTTGGCGCACTCCGCTGCGCCTCTTGGGGTAAAACTGATGTTACTGGAGCTTTTAAACAGTTTTTATCAAGGGTGAATCAAGCGAATGGAATCGAATGGAGCAATGGCAACTTTCAGTCTGGACCATAGTTCCTAGGATTTGCCCGCGACGTCACACGTTGGGTTCCTTTGAGCTCCGTCCGCGATTTTTGGGTCTGGAGACAGATCTGTGTCCCAAAAGTGCCAAAAAGCTCTGGGAAGGAGTTGCGACTTGCATGATTGGTTTCCTTCTACTTCACTCCAGAAAGACGGAATTGGGGTGTCTGTTTTGGAGGCCGCCCTTTTCACCTTGAATGGTTAAACGGTTTTACCTTTAAAGGGAAGCAAACGGGGGAAAGATCAGGATGTTTGGGGTCCCCTAATTTTGACACAACCCATTTTCCAAGTTTAGGATCCAAGCTCCGCATTGCCGCATGCTTTAGGTGACGAAGTGGCGGAAGTGGACGATGCCGTCCAAGTACTTCAACCAGACTGTGGGAGTTGCTGTGCTCCATCGAGCTTTTGTTTAGAGACAAATACGTCACTTTTATACAAACCAAACCATAAGTTGATTTGTACAACCAGCTTTTGTTTATTCAGAAAATCAAACCAACCAACCAAGTTCATCACATAACAACCGTGAGTTTGACTCTGTGTTGAACAAGAACAGAGTTGATTTCTGTGCCTGAACAAGCTAGCTTCCCGAAACGTGCCATGGTTGAAACTTGAAACGCACGCGGCCACATTGACCCTTCAAACATTGGACCTCAATTCACCATAGGTTGGGGCACCAGATTGACGCTGGGGGGCGTATCCGACCTAGGCGGACCCTGGCCAGCCCGCGCTGATCCGGCCCTGCAGCTGCTGCTGCAAAACCGCGCCCTTGCGGACCTGCTCCACCCCCCGCTGCGACTCGGTCGACGCCGTCGCGCGCGAGCACGGCGGCCTGTGCGTGCCCTGAGTCGAGCTGTGGGGAGCAATCGCGCGCCGGGGGTGCGAGACATCGGCGACGTCGGGCGCGCAGGCCTCGAAGGGCGCGAGGGTTTGAGGAGTCGAAGTGCTGCGCCCAGGGCCGTGCGTCTTTCCTGGCGGTGCCAGGGGAAGCTGGGAGCTTTACGCCCGGGGGTTCCCTGCGTTGCGCACACCTCCAATGCAGGCGGAAGAATTCAGCCTGCCCCACGGTTTCAGCCCGATGCCATGAAGCGAAGGCGACCCCGCGGAAGCCGCGGCGTCGTGGATCCAGTTCGGCTTAGCTTAGCTCAGCTCCGAGCTTCGGAGACCAGATGCGGCCTGACGCCCTGACGCCAAAGCGCCAAGGTGGCTTTGCACCTGGGTGCTGCTTGCCCGATTTGTAGATGCGCTTTGGATCCTATTGATGCTTGAAAGCGAAACGGCGCCAGAGTGAGACACGAGAGAACCAAGTCCTTGCAGAGTTCCCCCCGAGGTCTTGTTCACGCGCCCTTCCTGCCGGAGTACTTCAAATCGGAGTGCCCCAAGCTAGCCAGAAGGGTTGCGTAAGTGCCCAGGTCATGCCGGAAGCAAGTCCCAGGGGTGGCGATGTGACAGAAAAAAACCTCTCCACAGCCTCTAGCTCTAGAAGGGCCGCGAGAAGCACATTTGGCCAGGTACCTTCTGGATTTGAATCCCAACACCAAGTTTGGCATGGCCAGACGCTCGGAGGGAGTACTCACTCTTAGCTGGCCGTGGTTGCTCTTTCCGCCTTAACATGACCAAACCCCAGAAGAGTAAATTGGTTTGGCCTGGCTTTATCTGGGGGTGTCTTTTCTTTAGCCACCTGTTTGGTTGTTCTTCTTTCTTCGGGAAAATAAAAAGGAATACCACCATTTTGGGGAGTCCAACAGTAAGGAGGAGGGCGGAGGTATTTCTTGTTGGGGAGGTTGGAGGGAGGTTGTGGGGAAGGCAGGGGCGGAGGTATAGGTCGGGGCTGCATGGGCGTGAGTTTGTTTCTTGACCGCAGGGATCGCAGAACTTCAAGACACCCTTGGATACGGGAAGGACACGTACTCAGATTCCAAACAGTTACACCGCATGGTTCAGTCAAGAGGATTTGGCATGAAATCCGCCAAACAGCGATCCTGAACACAGTCCATCCATTGTGTTTTTTTGTTTTGTTTTGTTTTTCTTTCAAAGAGTGTCGTTCGGCATCTCAAGGTCTCACATGCTGAACTCGCTTGAAGTCAGGTTATCTTCTAAGATGGGTGAAATTCACGTCTTAGGCGTCAACTCATTTTTCGATCAAGCATTGAAAACAACCCCTCTGGTCCATCAACCCAAGCCCGGTGTCTCCTGATTAAACCATATGCTATACTTTTGGGGTGGACAAGGAAACATCATCGAACCAGACTTCGTGCCAAACGTATCAAACAAAAGCTTTTCACATCGTTTTTCTTGCTGGTGCTCAGTAGGGAATAACCTTCTGGTGTTGGGAATGAACCGATTGGGGGTTGCCTTGAAAGGAAACCACCAGCAAGGGATGGTGTTTTAGTCGGGGTCATTCCATGTTTCATTCCTTGCCCAGCCAGTAATTTGGGGGACAGACCTGCCGGCCACAACCCGAAGAATCAATCCGGCTCAAGTTTTTCCCTAGGGGTTACTAGACTATGTGGTGAAGTCAAAGAAAAGCTTTGCGTCCCGCCATTTTTCTTGGGTTATTTATGTTGCAGGCGAATCATGGAATGCCATAGTTCCTGAACGGTGGCGCGCACCGGCTTTTTCCAACACCCCTCCACCGTAGGCTGGAGGGGTCCCGTCCACATGGTTGTTGTTGGGAAACATTTCACATTTTTGCTTATTGTGGTTTAGTGGTTGAAATCCCCACTGAACTGCAAAAACATGTTTTTTTTGTTCTCCCCTTCCAACGTGATCCAAGTCCATTTTCCTCTGCGCCCAACCGGGGTTTTCGGGGGGGGTTTTGGGGTTTCGGGCCAAGGGGAGGGCTGTACGTAGGGTTTTCCCTCCCTTTTTTTCTGCGGCCAACTAAGGGGGTTTTCGGGACGTAGGGTGCTTTTTTTTGGGCCCCCTCCATTTTGTTCTGCGCCCAGCCGGATTTTTATTTTTTTTGCGGGGGGGGGGGGGGAGGGTTGAGACTCAGTTGTTCAGTGGCACCCTTTTTCCCCTTTTTTTTTGGTGGCTCCCTTTCCTTCCAGGGTCACAGAACAACGGAGGGGAGGTCCAAGGGGTTTTGGCTCGGCATCGCGCGTCGCGCGCGGCGTCGCGCGTCGCGAGGGGGGGAAGCTGGCGGTGGCCTTTGCAGAGCTGGTGGAGGAGATCCGCCAAGCGCGGCACGCAGGACCGACGAAGCCGGAGAGAGACCGACGGATTTGGGACGTGGTGTGTGCGCGCACAGGTCCGGTCGGAGGGTTTTCTAACACATATATATATATATATATTGGTTGTTCTTGTTGTTTTTTGGGTTTCGGAGCGGGTTTGGGTGGATTGTAAAATATGTGTGTATATATATATATATGTTCCAGGCCGTGGACCCCCCCCCCCCCCCCTGTGGGGGTGGGGTGGGTGGGTGGTGGGGTGGTGGTGGGGTGGTGGGGTGGTGGGGTGGTGGTTGGGTGGTTGGGTGGTTGGGCCAACCCCCCCCCCCCTGTGGGGGGTGGGGTGGGTGGTGGGGTGGTGGGGTGGTGGGGTGGTGGGGTGGTGGGGTGGTGGGGTGGTGGGGTGGTGGGGTGGTTGGGTGGTTGGGTGGTTGGGTGGTTGGGTGGTTGGGTGGTTGGGTGGTTGGGTGGTTGGGTGGTTGGGGTGTGGTTCGGAGTGGTTTGGGCTTGGTGGGTTGGTTTAGGGTTGGTTCAGGGTTGGTTCAGGGTTGGTTTGCGGTGGGTTTCGGGTGGGTTTGGGTTTTGGTTGATTTAGGCTTAGGGTTGGGGTTAAGGAGGGGTTGCAGGGTGGTTTGGTTTAGGGTAGGATGTTGCGAGAGGTGCGGGGGTGTTGGTTCACGGGGTAAAAGGGGGTCTGGGACCGAAGCTGCAGGGCTCGCACGGTACTGGACAGCATCCCCAGCATTGCCAGCATCATCCCCAAGATGCGGATGATGCGGGGGAGTGGGGGGACCATACCATTGGGGGGGGGGGGGGGTACGTGGCCGAGGGACTGGTACATATATATATATATATATATTTGTATTCGGAGATAGAATGAGACATGAACATATATGCTTTCCCCCCTTGTTTTGAGGCCACCGGCCTAGCCAGTCTTGGCAAAGAGGGAACCAGCACGACGCTGCTTGTGGGGCCCACTGATTTTCCCATCCCAAGCTTCGCTCATTTCGCAGCATTCTAAGGTTTGATTCCGCGTTCTCTTCACCCATCGTTCTCTTTAGAAACCACCTATTTTCCAGGATGTTGCCCATTTTTTGAAGAGAAGGATCCCTGAAGAGAATGGGGAGGGTACAGCTAAAAACATCGCAAGCAACCTGGCAAATTTTGCTTCTAAACGAGGGCACCACGGTTTCACCGAGGGAGGCCTTAACCAAGGAACGACCTGGGGAATCTTTTTGCCTCACAACAGATCGACCCGACTAGAAACGGACCCGTCACAACCGACACGCCCATAGTTTCCCAGATCCCTAGTTTAAAGGGAAAGCAACGGAAAGCCACATTTGTTGGGCTTCTCACACAGAAGCTCACACTAAATGGTATCTGTGTTTGACAAAAGGCGGGCCGCGCATTGTCAAACGCAACCAGCACGCCCGATTTCCGTTGACTTCCAGGTGTGTAGCGTTGCGTCTTGGTCTGTGGGGATGTAGCAAAACGTGGATTTTTACGAGTGGCGTTGAGCTTTGGACACCTTCTCTATCAAAGACCTTCTTCAGTCAAGGCGTGTAGTCTTGTTCCAACTGTGCCTGGCTTAAGGCCAGCGGAAAGGCCTGCACCCTGTTCGGGCTGGCTATGTGTGGTTTCAGGGGACCCTAAGAATGGGTGGGTTCCCCTCCAAGGCCCCATAAACCGAAAATTCTGGCTATGTCTTGTTTTAGGGGACCCTAAGACCTAAGAATGTTTATTTGTTCCTCCTGGTTTCCCTTGAATGCGTTTAAAAGGGCACCCTCCAAAAACGAGAGGCACACCCTTATGACCCGCCCGAACTCGAACTGGGGGGGTGCCATGGACACTAAGAGTCAATTTTGCAGCCTGGAACCCTAGAAGCCAATACCCTAAATGAAGAAGGTTGCAAACTCGACCCAAAGTGTCCATCATACCCCTGCAAAAAAATGAAAAAAGAACACAGGAAAAACACCTATTCCCAGTAGTGAAATCGATTCCCAACATAAAACCAACATAAAACCAACGGGGGGAAGCTAAGCGTTCAGCCGGCTCGGCGGCTCGGCCAGGCTATTGGGTGGTGGCCCCCCGGGACTTCAAGAGGATCTTCTCGGACTTCAAGCCCCAGTTCGCCGGCTGGAAGCAGCAGGCGCGCCATGTGGCGAGCGGGCCATCTGCCATGCGAGCGGGAAACCCATCTGGCAGGGAAGCCGCCAAACTTGGCCAAGAACCATCCGGTTCCTGAGGTTTTTAGATCTTTTTAGTGTTGAGTAGGTTTTTAGCCTTTCTAGATCTTTTTGGTGTTGGGTGGTAGTTTCCTTTTTGACCCACAAAAAGTTACACCAGCGGGGCTAAGCTGAGGGCAGCCCAGTTTAGTATCAGAAGTTGTGGCAAAAAACGACTGGAATACTTCCATGTGCTGAAACGGATATGTTGTAAGTTTTCCTGTTGGTTTTGATGGGAATCGATTTCATTACCGGGAATATGTTCTCATCTTTTCCACGCGGCGAACAAGTACATGGAGGAACATACCCCTGGATTAGCTACAAATCAGAGTAAATATGGGGCAAATAAGCCCAAGGCTCAACTGTCCTACAAATTGACATGAACCCCAAAGGGTGGTTCATTTCCCAAACGGAGCTTGCTCTATGTGTGGGTTTGTTCGGCTTTTAGAAACGCATGTCAATCCGATCCGAGATTTGCACAAATGCGAGCGCCGGCTAGCCGCTCTGACGCCATTCTGAGTGGGCGTCATAAAAGGGAAGCATTCTGGGCCCGTCATCAAGCCATTTGGAGAGATTGCCATGTCCCAAGCTCTGAGACACGGTTTTCTTTGGTTGGGTCGTGTTTTTGTTTCTTCTCTTTCTGCGGGTTGCCCCCCGCTGGGGCTGTCTGGCCCCATGGTTCGTTGGAATTTCAGTGGGGCTGGCCGAACTTCGGACGTCGGAGCCTCCCAGATTGGGTTGCCATCAAACCTGTGAGGTGACAGACATGTTGGGTTGGTCTCCCACAGACACCATTTTCAAACCCTGGCTTCAGCATTTTTAAACCCCTTCAGCTCCCGCTCAAACCATGTTGTTTGATTGGATTTTCTTCAACCT